ATACTTTAAGGTCATAGTTTTACACTCGTGGGCCAGCGTGCTTTTCTTTTTGGTGGAATCACGAATGACAGCGAGGACCCGAAAAATAACATTCCAAGGTTAGTCATGGTTTGTATCAATGTGTATATGAGTACTATTTTTAATGGTTTCACTTCTTTTCAGGTATCTTAACGACTTATATACGCTAGAGCTTCGGCCTAATTCCTCAGCAATGTGTTGGGATATTCCAATTACCTATGGACAGCCACCTTCGCCTCGGGAATCTCATACCGCAGTCGCATATCAAGTCATGGATGGGTTGATTAAAAAGTGGCGCCTATTGGTATATGGTGGCATGACGGGTTGTCGCCTTGGTGATCTTTGGCAACTCGAAATCGATACAATGACGTGGACAAAACCCACCGTTTCGGGAGATCTTCCCGCTCCTCGCAGTCTGCATAGTGCTACGGTGATTGGCAACCGGTGGGTTGCGATTTTGTCTTGTTTTATGGTATAAATTTTGTTTATTTACTTTCAGTATGTTTGTGTTCGGTGGATGGGTACCTTTGGTCATGGATGATATGAAAACAACAGTCGAAAAAGAATGGAAGTGTACGAACACTCTTGCTAGCCTCAATCTCGACACAATGTCGTGGGAACCGATCCAAATGGAAATCTTCGATGATAGTCTTGTACCACGTGCGCGAGCAGGCCATTGTGCAGTTGCCGTCAGCACACGTCTTTATATATGGTCTGGTCGTGACGGTTATAGGAAAGCCTGGAACAATCAGGTGTGCTTTAAGGATTTATGGTTTCTGGAGACTGATAAACCGCCTGCTCCGAGCCGGGTTCAGCTTGTCCGAGCCGGCACACAGAGTCTTGATGTCACATGGGGTTCCGTGCCAACAGCTGATGCTTACATACTTCAAATTCAGAAATATGATGTCTCAACATCCTCATCTGCTCAAAGTCCTCCGGTGGGTTCTCGATTGAATCCTACTCTTGCACTTGATGCTCCTCAAGCCAAGTCTCCAGTCGGTGGACTTACTTCGTCCGCTGCACCAGGTCAAGTAGGTTTGAATTCCTCTTGCGTTGGGTAGACCACTGACATCGCAAGTCGGTCAAAACTGTCTTAGTGTGTTCCGTTCTGCTTACCGTAACTCTAAGGTATACTTCGTCACGCCTTGCAGCGTTTTACGGCCCCATCGACTGCCACTGTTAGTGCCGCTTCCTTGCAAGCTTTGGCAAACGTAGCTACGGCTACGCCTGTCCGCACAATTTCAGCGGTGGCCAGCCCTCAATCTACATCCGTCGTCGGAGTTGCTGCTAGCCCACGGGTCCCTACCGTCGTTACGCCCACGGGGCTCAAAATTACTCCCGTTCCCACCAGTGCGGTCACTGGTCGTGCGGCGATCCTTGTTGCAGCTCAGTCACAACCACAACATCCTCAGGCAACAGGTTTAATTCGAGCGGCAAATGTGGTTACGGCTCAAACAAAACCACAGGTAATCTGTCTTTTAATCGATAACCTAACTCCCCAACATTATTTCGTTGCCGAAAATCCGTTTAGATATTTACACGTTGTTGTTCTTCAGATACTTGCAGCGGGTACCGCAAAGCAGATTGTCACGCCCAGCGCTAGTGCTCCGAGTGGTATTACTGTGAGTTCTGTGACATCCAGTGCCACAGCCGGTGGCTCGGGATCGACCGGTTCTGTTGTTCATCTTGTTAAGACTCCAACGGGCTTGATTCGACCCATAAAATTTTTGTCTCCTGCTAATGCCGTTGGATCACAGCAGCATATTAATGTTTCGTCGAAGACTATTTCCATCCATACACCGCAAGGTAGGTCTCATCTTGCGCATTCATTATACAGCTTAAGGTTTCATCTTAGTTTCTTAATAGTGTTCGGCTCGTCATATTTGTAGGTAGCAACCCAAAAGTAATTAAGGCATTCCCTGCAAACGTAATTCCAAAATCTGGTACCGGCAAGCCAATTTTCATCACGAGTGGAGCAGCAGCACGTCCAGTTACACCAGCAGCAGATAACGCCCCGAACAATTCTGTTTCTAGGCAACCTCAGGTGGTCATTGTTGGATCGTCTGGTGAGCTAAATTTATCTGCCAACTCATCTTGTGTAAATTATTTGTGGTAACCCATCAACATCACCGGCAGTTCTTATCTTCAAAATGATGCCGGTTCATTACAAGATTGCCAACCCTCGTTGGGTGACGTGTTGGTGGTGATTGGGCTAGTTGTTTTTCCCATTCCAGCCCGGCCCGTAACCAACACTTTGGGTTCTGCAATGTCTGGCAATGACCAAGATGGGGGACAGTTGGATTCAAGCAAAACCCTTGCTCCCACTCTACCTCAGCTTGACGGAACGGTGGATGAGGCAGACAATGGGTCGGATTCTGCTGAAGGCTATGAAGCGGAACAACTTGCAGGTCACGCTGAGGAGAATGAAAATATTCAGACGACAGATTCAGCTGCAAAGAAATGCGACTTGACTAGCGTAGCTGATGTATGTTTCAGTGGTTGTTATTTTTGGCCATTTATGGTCAATCCGTGCTTGATAGGCTGCAGATTTGCCTCAATTACGTTATGGTTGCAACATAGATAATGCGGTTAGAAATTTTGTACATGGGTGAAAGTAGTCATTTGTTAAAAATCTCAGAAAATTCGACGCACGCATAGCATTTCATTTTGTTCTCGTCAAATTTGAACGAAGTTCTTTTTAGGTGAGTGCTTTGGTGGATAACATGGCAGCCGAAGCAGCTGCCGAGTTATTAGCAGATGTTGAAAACACTTCCGATGTGCCCACCTCCACTCCAGATGGAGATAATAGCAAACTTCCCGTCACCGTTACCAACATTGGAAACGTCTCCGAGGCACCTGGTGCTACTTCAGAATCCCGTAAGTTTCGATATCCAAAAGGCTACATTCTTATTTCCACGCTCTTAGCTTCTTTTGAGGTTTTCTGTCGTCCTCTGCTAACCACTGTGAAGTGTGACGTTGTCCTTGTTGGTTAGAGATAATTCAGGTTTTGAACATTTGCATTTGGACTTAAGCAAACTGTTTCACGATAATTAGATTCGCACGGACTTGGCAATCTCTCTGTTTGAAGGTTCTCATTGATTTGTAAGTAACCTAATCACTTTCAACCATCCTGTTTCCATCCCATCCAGATCCTCATGTGGGTGGTGACAGCGGGAGCAACAAAATTGAAGCAAAGGCTAGCGACCCGCTCGTGACTCTAGCGTCTGTTGCGACTAAACGTGGAGATAACACCGAAGGTAGATGAATGCTGCCGCATTAAGGTTTTTATTTGCAAGCCGTCCCTGTACTACCACCTATTACATATGCATTTCTGTTCGCATGCTTAAGGTTTATCAAGTCAAAGTTCTCAGGCATTTTGGACTGCACTTAGTTTTTAAGACAAGAGTGAAAAAATTGGTGGCTAAAACATCGACTATTAAACGTACTTCTGGATAGCTTCTACTACGCGGCATAGATGATGGGGAAGGAGCTTGTGTGCTCTATCCATTTCCGATTAGAACTTCACATGATTCTCTCAGCTTCATCTTATGCATTTGAGGTTCAAGTTCAAGGGTTGCCCCCATTTTACTCTGTGCTGTTTAGAGGACGAGAGTCAGGCAGATGTGGAATCTCTACTTGAAAATTCAAAAAGGCTTAAGCAGCAGCCGACGCGCTCGGTTCCTCTTACCATGGCAGTCTCGACGCCTTCCTCGAAAGTGACTTTAGCGCCTCGAATATTAACACCTTCGGTTACTTCTGCAGTGGGCGCAGGAGGAAATCAGCTTATTCAAACAAATACACCAGGCGGTGGGATGCTGACAGCCCGTAGCGACAGTGCGTGGCACGATGTTGGCGTTATCAAGCAACCAAAGTTCTCGGTCTCAATGTACTCAGCGCATACGAACGATGCTGGAATCAGCGTTGAGGTAAGACAACTGACAAGTCTGAAATTATATCTTGATTCTCTGACCGTTTAGTGAAAATTGGCTCCACGTATAATAGGGCCAACCTTGAGTTTCTATTGAAAAGGGGTAATTTTTATTATTGCAGGCTCTTGATGCTCTCCAAGGTCCCAATGGGATTGGTCCTAACGGCGTTCCTCCACAGGGGCCAAAAATCGCTCTCACACCGGGCACAGCCTACAAGTTCCGTGTTGCTGGACTGAATGCTTGTGGGCGAGGTCCCTGGTCTGAAATATCTGCTTTTAAAACCTGTTTACCAGGTTTTCCAGGTGCCCCAAGTGCCATAAAGATCACAACAAATGAACAGGGTGCCCAGCTAACGTGGGAACCGCCACAAAATACAGCTGGTCGCATAATCGAATATTCTGTTTATCTGGCTGTACGATCACAATCAGGAGCCGGGAAGGAATCGCAAGAAGCAAAAGTGAGTGTTCTGGGATTGCCATTTATCAAATATTCTCTTTACTCGCACGTGACCTTGATATTGGGCATGATTTTTTTGTGTATAAGTTTTACTAGACGGACATTATTTGCATCGCCCAAATGTTTTTCCTCGATGATGCTAGCCTTAATTATTCCAGCTGTCCATTGGTTTTTAGATGGGAGCGATGCCTTCTGGTATGGCATTCGTTCGTGTTTACGCTGGCCCTCAGCCAAGTGCTCTAGTCATGCATACGGTTCTTGCTAAGGCTCATTTGGACGTGAGTTCCAAACCTGCTGTAATCTTTCGTATTGCCGCATGTAACGAAAAGGGTTACGGCCCAGCGACACAAGTGCGTTGGCTTCAAGAGTCTCATAGCTTTGGACAAGGACTGCCAACACCTGGTAGCGCGTCAGTTGATGCGGCTCCAGGTGGGTCTTCTCCAACCTCTGGGAGCTTGAAGAAAACTCCGCCTTTGGAGGGGCCCCAGCCCTCCGGATCTACTGAAGGGTATTAAGTTTGTATACCTTCTCATTTCGAATCTTTGTGTTTGGCCGGTATTTTAGCACTTGTTAATCCTTTTAGTTTTTGGTTAGCGTTTTAACAATTCGTTGGAAAACATCCTGCTTTGATTAAATCCTATGGTTGTGTTATCTGACTTCAACTCCCCATGACTTGCTTGGCGGAAGCGATTAGTTTTGAATTTTTTTCAGAACCTATATATCTCCTGTGAAGCGCATCAAGAAGCAAGATGACCAACCCTAATCAGTCCAACCCAACATTGCCCGCACACAGGTAATTGCGCTTGGCAGCATTTGTATCTCTCATGGTGAACCTGTATGTATAACCCGAGCTTAAGGCTCTTCTTTCTCCTACGTGTACCTGCACCCTATTCACCTGTTCTCAAGGCTGTTTTACACTTGCGCCTGTTCGTGCCGATGTTCTATTTTTTAGTACCCATAATAAAATATAAATGCAGCCTATCCTCGAACTATCCGCTGTTTGTGCACCAATACCTATGATATTCCTTGTGACCGCTACTACCTTTCATCTCCACTTCATTACTGAGGCTACGGGCATTTCCACTTAACATGATCTTATTCTTAGCATTGTTTGTAAATACAAACCTTGGTATTTTCCTCAATGGTTACTCTTCCATAACTTAATGCTCTTGGTTGATTACAGTTCTCTAATTTGGGTGGTTTTTGCTCTTTTAATATACCTCACAGGCTCGGTCACGTATTACTGTTAAAGCGTTTTGGAGAAAACTGGGATCAGGCACACTTAATGCTCC